AATAGTTCATTGAACTTCTTTATCGAATTATTACAATTCGCACTTTCCATTCTTAGTTCTTCCATTATACATAACGATATCTGCAACAGAACCCCAGTAATAATTTTCCAAGGATTGCTATAGATATTCCATTTTCGGGCCACTGATCACGGTGCAGGGACAACTGGTTTACTACCAACTTAAGTTCTTCCACAACAACTAGTCCGTGGGTCCAGCAAAACTGATTGCTCACTTCCTGGATACTGCTAAAGACAACTAAATCAAACTTATCGGCGGAGAAATGCCATGTCTCTTTCCTCGTCAGTGGTGTCGTCAGCGCCCTGCAAGCTGACAGAATTTGTCTCTGCAGTGAACTGCTGATTGAAACTGTGACAGTATGACTTTCACCTTGCTCACCGATAGGCCCACAGCACAGGAAACAAAAGTTAGTAGTCCAGGTGGTTGAAAACCAATCGCACTCAAGCGACTTGTCCAGAGACCACAACCGTTTGCCACGTTCACGACAATTTGTCGTGCTCTGTCGCAGAACTTTGACCTAGCGGCCACCCTTGCATTTTAGTGAGTCGGTAGCTACACGTTCCTCCTCCTTATTTCCGCCTCTCATTTTATTATGCGCTTTTCTGTTAGTGCTTTATCCATTTTAGATTGCCATCGAATTGTAATAGAGAACAAATTTATTTTAATTAAAAGTAAGTTCCTCGTATGTCGCTAGCCTCTTACCGCCACTAATTCATACTTTTAAAATTGTACGGAACACGTTGACAAACGGCAAACGACTCGGTAAAACCTCCGTAGTTGTCTGGTACCAGACACTGTGCGTTGTTGAAGTCGTCTAACATTAAACATTTTTCGTTGGCAGAGTCATTTGGCTGGCTACATCCCGCGTTCTAGATGTCTTGCGCAAAACAGCACACTGCAAAATCCACATTCGCTTTATTTTTTTCTCTAACTGCAGAAACCTCAACGCTTCAAATCTCTTTCTCTTCCCTCCTGTCATGAGAACAAGCTTTGCTATAAAAGAACGTAAGCCACTTAAATGCTCTGTCATCATTATTTTTTGAATTTTCCCTATCATGTAAGAAATTACGCAAGGGCAATAATGCAAAGTCTCACATTCTTTCCAGTCGACCTCCCAAATTTTTTCCATTTCTTCTTTTGTGTTACTTAATACCGCATTGCAAAATCAAAGAAGTTTACCTAAAGAAGTGCTATAGCAGCAAAGTTAGGCCGTTCTAAACTGCAAAGAAAAAACGCAGTTTTTGCTTGACACGATCACTTTCAAGAACTTTTAGTCTTTTTTTGTCTGCAACAAATTTTCCTGGTTTTTGCTTTATTTAAAAGTCTCATGCTGATACATATATTAACAAATTTTATATGGAACTGAAATAAAAACAGCAGTTCAAAACATTCTTTCTGAAAAAAAAAAAAAACGTTTCAGATTTTTCAAAAAAGACATGTTTTTCAAAGCCACAACTTTTACACGACATATCTAAATGTCACATTGATGTTTGTCTAGTACCATAAGTAACGGTGCGACTCCTAACAGTAGACAGAAAGATATCCCTAATTGAAGTATTTTTAATTGGTGAAACTACCCAAAAACGCGATGCTTGAAGTGCTTTTTGCTTTTCACTTTCTTCTAAAAATACTAGAATCACTAATGTTTCTTTTTAATGATTCGGAACCTACTTATAAAGGTAATAGAGAGTTGAGATTTAGTCTGCAAGTGTCTCTCTAATGTTTGCTATTGTTGCTGGTCTTTTCAGTATGCCTCCTAGGCTCAAACTAATGCACTGCTGCAAAATTGATAAGAAAACGGTATCCAGAATTAAAAAGAACAGTGGTGAGTGTGAAATATTCTGGTTAGAAGAGTTCAGTAAAGAAGCAAAACGGCGCAAATTAGAAAAAAATCAAAATAGCAATTCTTTCCCCCAAAAAAACTTTGTAAAATTATTAAAAAGTAAAAAAGCTTTAACAAATTATTCGTTATTGAAGTGGAAGAATTGAAGAATTTTTTCGGCAATCTACATACATTGTTTCGAACTCCTTTCAACTGACGGCCCCATATATATATATATATATATATATATATATATATATATAGTTTATATATATATATATATATATATATATATATATATATATTATATATATATATATATATATATATATATATATATATATAGGTGCTGTGCTTAAGAGTGCGTATTTTTGTTTGTGGTCGTCCCCAAAATCCTTACAACTTTTTGGTTTATCAAACAGCTTTTGGAGAAGAGGCCTTGAAAGAGGTCCCTTCTCCTGGCAAGCTGCGACTAGAGCGACGTCGCTGTCATCGCAGCTTCAAGCAGCAGAGGAGACATGTCGACCGTGTCAACCTCGGCTAAAGACTAATAAGTCTCCTTATAACG